CGTCGAACGCTGCATTCTCTAATTTGGACAGGATATCTGCTTCAGTATTTTCAATCCTGGATATTTGATCGAGCACCACCTGTTCAAATTTACGTATCTGCTCCTCAACTATTTCCTTGTAGGCCTTCATCCTCTCTTCTTTGGCCTCAGCAGTGCCGTTTACTTGATGTACCACCAATTGACTGTCCGATCGGATTTTTAACCGATCGGCACCCAGGGCTCTTGCATATTTTAAACCAGCAATGAGAGTCTCATATTCAGCCTCATTGTTGGTTACCTTGAAGTCAAAATGAATAGAATAATATGCTTTGAACCCCTCGGGCGATGTGATCACAGCTCCAGCTCCACAACCTTTGGCACTAGATGCACCATCCACATACATTTCCCACCAGTTATCCAGCCCGTTGTTCTCTGCATCTTTTTCTGAGGGCCGGGCGGTACATTCTGCAATGAAATCTGCCAGGGCCTGCCCTTTGATAGTAGGCCGGGGTTTGAAATCCACCTCGTATGATATATAGCCCGAACCTCGTTCGGTATGTCTTCTTACTGGGCCAACCTTTATTTGGGCCGAACTCCGTTCGGTATGTCTTCCCACTGGATCTATTCATCATAGAGTGATGGGCCCGTTGCTTGGGCCGGGTATCTTGGGCCTTCTCGATCTGGGTATTGGGCCTCTAGGTCAATATCCCAACACAAGTCCCCCTTGGTAACTCCTCAAATGTACGTGGGGATCTCCCACCCCGTCATAAATTTGGCCGGTCGGGGGCTTTGCACCCCCTTGGATATCTGCGTACATGAGTTCCCTGGTAAACGGGGATGTAATTCCCAGCTGAACTGGGGCAGGTTGTACAGGTACCATGTTCATCTGGTCCCGCATTTCATTCATTTGCCTCCTCATCTCGGCCATTTCTTCCTCCTGGGCCGTCAAAGGGGGCGGTGGTGGGGCCCTCATATCCGTACAGTCCCGGTCCCAATGCCGCTGAGGGGCCCTAGTATTTTCCCGCTCGGCATACTGGAAATGATGACCAACGGGAGTTGGTCCTCTAGCTTGTGACCCGACCAGGGTTCGATCACTGGGGCTGTGGTGCGCTGTTGGTGGGGCGCTACGTCGATTATCCCGATGGACATGTGAACGGGACGACGCCGCGGTTGTTTCCGTTCGTGGGGTCTCCCCTGTAAAGCTGGAACTTCCTTCCTCTTCGTTCGCCATATGCTGCATGACCTGGGCCATGTCCCGCATGGCCTGAGGATTTCTTCTCAGAGATTCAGGAATCACAAAATCCCCATCGAAACGAGGATTCGGTCCTCGACTGGATTGTCCCTGAGGGTTTTGACTCCCCGGGGTGTGACTCCTCCCGTGACGGCGTGAACCGTCGCTTGTATGATAGGAACTGATTCTGACCATTTTTGAAAAATAGAGGTTTTTTGGATGATTAGAAAGTGGAACTTTTTGCAAGTTTCCCACAGACGGCGCCAATGTTGAGGGTAAGTCCCGTAGATCCGAAAGCCCAACACGAACTTTGGATATATCAGGAATGGCCAAGAATCAAAGCGTGTAAAGAAATATAAGATCTGAACTAACTAATACTCGAAAGCTCACTTGTATTAATTAACCAATCTGATTACAAGGAATTTCCCGATCAGTAGGTCGGAAACTGTGCTTTAATACAAGAAATAAGAGCAATTATGCTATTCTAGAGCCTGAGTATTGAAATGATAACCCTTACAATGACTTGAAACCTTCTATTTATACTAATGGAGAGCATGGGCTGCCTCTTGCTGATTGGCCGTTGTTCCACCGACTTGGTCATCCATGCTTCCACTTTCTGATGTCATAGTCTGGCATTAATTGCACCTGGCCACTTGCTGGTTGGCCGTTGCTCGAACGGGATGTAGGGCTGTACTGAAGATGCTGTCAAATTGGCCCAAGTATGATATATAGCCTGAACCTCGTTCGGTATGTCTTCTTACTGGGCCAACCTTTATTTGGGCCGAACTCCGTTCGGTATGTCTTCCCACTGGATCTATTCATCATAGAGTGATGGGTCCGTTGCTTGGGCCGGGTATCTTGGGCCTTCTCGATCTGGGTATTGGGCCTCTAGGTCAATATCCCAACACAAGTCCCCCTTGGTAACTCCTCAAATGTACGTGAGGATCTCCCACCCCGTCATAAATTTGCCCGGTCGGGGGCTTTGCACCCCTTTGGATATCTGCGTACATGAGTTCCCTGGTAAACGGGGATGTAATTCCCAGCTGAACTGGGGCAGGTTGTACAGGTACCCTGTTCATCTGGTCCCGCATTTCATTCATTTGCCTCCTCATCTCGGCCATTTCTTTCTCCTGGGCCGTCAAAGGGGGCGGTGGTGGGGCGCTACGTCGATTATCCCGATGGACATGTGAACGGGACGACGCCGCGGTTGTTTCCGTGCGTGGGGTCTCCCCTGTAAAGTTGGAACTTCCTTCCTCTTCGTTCGCCATATGCTGCATGACCTGGGCCATGTCCCGCATGGCCTGAGGATTTCTTCTCAGAGATTCAGGAATCACAAAATCCCCATCGAAACGAGGATTCGGTCCTCGACTGGATTGTCCCTGAGGGTTTTGACTCCCCAGGGTGTGACTCCTCCCGTGACGGCGTGAACCGTCGCTTGTATGATAGGAACTGATTCTGACCATTTTTGAAAAATAGAGGTTTTTTGGATGATTAGAAAGTGGAACTTTTTGCAAGTTTCCCACAGACGGCGCCAATGTTGAGGGTAAGTCCCGTAGATCCGAAAGCCCAACACGAACTTTGGATATATCAGGAATGGCCCAGAATCAAAGCGTGTAAAGAAATATAAGATCTGAACTAACTAATACTCGAAAGCTCACTTGTATTAATTAACCAATCTGATTACAAGGAATTTCCCGATCGGTAGGTCGGAAACTGTGCTTTAATACAAGAAATAAGAGCAATTATGCTATTCTAGAGCCTGAGTATTGAAATGCTAACCCTTACAATGACTTGAAACCTTCTATTTATACTAATGGAGAGCATGGGCTGCCTCTTGCTGATTGGCCGTTGTTCCACCGACTTGGTCATCCATGCTTCCACTTGCTGATGTCAGAGTCTGGCATTAATTGCACCTGGCCACTTGCTGGTTGGCCGTTGCTCGAACGGGATGTAGGGTTGTACTGAAGATGCTGTCAAATTGGCCCAAGTATGATATATAGCCCGAACCTCGTTCGGTATGTCTTCTTACTGGGCCAACCTTTATTTGGGCCGAACTCCGTTCGGTATGTCTTCCCACTGGATCTATTCATCATAGAGTGATGGGCCCGTTGCTTGGGCCGGGTATCTTGGGCCTTCTCGATCTGGGTATTGGGCCTCTAGGTCAATATCCCAACAGTATTTTTATCCACCAATCAAATTATACCGAGAAACTTTTAAAGAGATTTTACATGGAAAAAGCTCACCCGCTCAATTCTCCCATGGTGGTTCGATCTCTCAATGTGCATGATGATCCTTTTCGGCCTTATGAAGATGATGAAGAAATCCTTGGTCCCGATACCATATTTGAGTGCTATTGGAGCGTTAATGTATTTGGCTAATAATACCCGACCAGGTATTGCATTTTCTATAAATTTATTAGCCAGGTACAATTCTTCCCCGACAAGAAGACATTGGAATGACATCAACCATATATTCTGCTATCTCAATGGTACGATCGATCTTGGATTGTATTTCAAGAATGGTGCAAATGTCACTTTAATTGGTTATGCTGATGCAGGATACTTGTGTGATCCACAAAAGGTAAAATCACAAACAGGGTATTTATTCACCTATGGTGATACCACTATCTCATGGAGATCAATGAAGCAAACATTAACTGCCACATCATCAAATCATGCAGAATTAACTGCTCTGTATGAAGTTGGTCGAGAATGTGTCTCGTTGAGATCAATGATCCAGCACATATAAAATGAATGCAGTATAAAATCTTTTACTTGTAATCCTACTCTGATTTATGAAAGGAGGTTACATCAAATGAGATAAAACAAAGCATATAACACCAAAACTATTCTCCACACATGATCTTGAGAAAGAAGGAACAATTGATGTCAAACAAATCAAATCATGCGACAACCCTGCTGATTTATTCACAAAGTCATTGGCATCGAAGAAATTTGAAGAACTGGTCCACAAAATTGGAATGTGTCGTCTTCGAGATATATGTTAAATTGAGGGGAAGTAATATAATGCACTACACTCTTTTTCCCTTCATCAGGTATTTATCCCACTTGATTTTTCCTGGCAAAGGTTTTTAACGAGACAATACATTATAATACTATGATATTAATACCCCAGAATAATTAGAAGATACTCCCTCCGTCCCAATTTGATGGTCTCATTTCTTTTGGGCACAAGTTTTAATAAAGTGGTTGAAAAGGTAAAAGTTGTGGTTGAGATTTGAGTATAATAAAGTGAAATGATATGAACCACATCTTTTTTTTCCAAAAAGGGAAACATGACCATCATTTTGGGACATCCCAAAAAGGAAATACATGACCATCATTTTGGGAGGGAGGTAGTACCTTTCAAGGGGGAGGGTTGAAATATAATTGAATTTGTCATCTTCCAACTATTCTTGATTAGGAATTATTATAACCATTGTACAAATAATTAGAAAATCATGATTATGATTCTAGATGATAATTATGTGGTTCACAATTATTCTTTAATCCTAAGAAGCTTAGTTTTTCCCCTATAAATAGGAGTTTTCTCCATTGTAATTATCACAACATTATTACACCATTATGGCATTATCACACACTCAATAACATATTTATCACTAAGTGTTTATACTATACTTTTTCTCCCTAATCTTCAGCTTATTTCCTTCCATTTTATAACAATACAGAGTATGTTATTTATTTTTTGGTTTATTTGCCTAAAATTCCTAAACAATTATCCATTTAAATTTAGTATATACGGTTGGTATAATTCGAACGTATATCCATGAGGCTAAAGTCTAAACCCGCCACCCACCCATTGAGCAGAACCAATGGTATAGACATGGTTGAACACAGCCGAAGCCAGAAGGAACTGAGAAATGCTTATGATCAAAATAGATGAACTGGCTAAACTGAAAATGGACTTAATTCTCCAATTATCATCCTCCTCTTTCCTCACGAGGACCAGGAATCACAGAGCTAAATGCTTGAATCTCTTCGCCAAATCGCAAGACCCATCTTCAGCTCAGTCTACAGAAGACGCTGCATCATCCACGGAGGTATCGCCGCTGAAGAAGCTTGGCGGAGCCGGCCTAGGTTTCGGCCCCTCAACTTCCAAGAGAAAGCAGAAGGGAAAGAGAGAGACGACCCCCGTAATTCGCCGAAACCCCATTGAAAAGCCCAAATTCGATTCGCAGCCGGCCAAAGCCCAGCCCCAGGAACCCAAGGGAAATGAGAGCGCTTTCATTCTCGCTTGGTTAGGACTTGGCGCAATCATTATTGTGGAGGGTATTGTTCTTTCTGCTTCAGGTAAATCAATCTTTGAAAATGAAATCAACCCTTACAGTTCTGGTTTTTATTTGAATCCTTAAATTCAGGTCTGGTCTGTTACAATGTATTTAGGTGTAAACATATAGACCCTTTTAAGTTCGTTTATGTAAACTTTTAGTATTATCTACCAAAAAAACTGAAGAAGAAAGCGTTGTTTGTAAAAATACAGCCCAGAATAGAAGGCTTATCAAAAATCAAAACTTGCTATTTGACATAGACTTACAATAATTATGTCAAATAGCAATGGAGAAATGTGACAACGGGAGGCAACCTAGTTAGCAAAAAATAAAAAAGAACACTTGTTAATAAAGTGAATTTGGATGTTTGTTCCGAAAAAAAGTTTAACATTTCTTTTGGAAATCCCAACCAAAACTGCTTATGATTGTAGCATCAAATGCTACTCAGTATAACTTTTTTTTTCAAAAGCACTTACGATTAATAAGCATTTTTAACAAAAACAGATTGAGATCTTATTCACCAAAATATGATGTCTTTGTATTATGTGGCTATAACTATTTTCTCTTTTGGTCAATACCTGCATTTTGAATGTAACAACAGATACTAATATGGCTTTGGCTCGGTAAGGACACAGCTTCCATGGTTTGTAATGGTCTAATGTGACTGAATATGCTTCTGTTGTCTAGAAATTTCTAGATTACCTAAAATTTGATTAAAAGTGAATGTGATGACAAATTCACTTTCGGTAAGGGTTATTGTATGGAATGGCTGAACTTGCTGAATTGTACTCCGTATGAACGACAAAGCTTTTGGTAATACCAATTGCACCCCAAATCCGTTAGGTAGAAGCTACTTATGTAAAAATAACAACTTGTGTAGATAAGCAGAATAAGCAAATCAATGCTACCAAACTGGGCCTATATTAAATATTATGTAATAGATGATGAAGAAGAGTTAATTATCTTCATTTTAACTGCTACCTCCGTCTCACATAAAGGTTCCCGTCCAGTATTCTCCGGTCAACGTAAATTGTTCTTAATCTTTTACTTTATACGGAGTATATCCAACTTTTATCAAATTTGAATTTTTTTGGCGACTTTACGAACTTTTAATGTAGTTTCTTAATATGTAAATTTTATTTACTAAAAATAATCTTATTACTGATAGCGATCCGTTAACTTTATGGCCAGTCAAACATGGTAAACCGTGTGGGAACTTTTAAGTGGGACGGAGGGAGTATATCAGAAAAAGTAACTTTTGCATTACTCTTCTTTCTACATAGTATTAATTAGATATTTTTATCAAGTTAAGAGCCTGTTCGGTAAGGGTGTTTCAATGGAACATCTGAATATTGTGTTTTTATTTAAAGAAAAAAGTATTTGTGATATCAATACCATCCAAACAAGTAAGTATAGAGCTACTCCCTCCATCCCATTCAAAGGTTCTCACTTTCCTCTTTTGGACGTCCCAAGGTTCACATTTCTATTTTAGGAAACAATTAGCACTATTAAATGACAATTTAATCATCAAATATTAAAAATAATACATCTATAATTTCATAGTTATCATCAATGACACTATTATATTATATACCCATCGAAATTATTCCTCAAAATATACTCGAATAACCTTATTTAATTATCGTCTAAATAACCTTGTCATTTTACAATGGAAACCTTTCAGTGGGACAGAGGTAGTACTTATTTTTTATTATTCTGTTGAAAAGAAAGGTAAGCTGAATAACCTGATCACTGCTAGTAAACGGGGCTGAAATGGAATAATATGTTATATGTAAAAGAGTGATGTTGCCTAGAAGGGTTTTATTTGTTTTCGTTTGAACTATCAAGAAAAAAGAAACTTTGTGGATGCCCTTTCAGTATATACAGTAAAAATAAGTCAGTGTTCCAACAATGGAAAGTCACACAAGGCCACATAGTGATCATTTTCAATACTCTCCATGCAGTGACTTACATACTGTCTTTGTGCTTGTAGGGTTTCTACCAGAGCAGTGGGATAATTTCTTTGTGAAGTATCTTTACCCATCCTTCACTCCTACGGTGGTATTGTTTGTAGCCGGTACAGTCACTTATGGAGTATTGAAGTATCTAGAGAATGAAAAACTCAAGAGTGAAAAATGAATCTTCCTTATTTTTCATAAAATCTAATAACTTAGAGTTTCTGCATTGAATGTGAAGAGCATTCTAGCTAGTTTGCCCAGGCAGGCAATTGTCATGTATTGCCTCCCAACTGTAAGTGCGCAAAAAGTATATTTATCTTTTTCCTCAATATAGATGAACATAAATATGATTGATCAAGTTAACAGTCAGCTATGAAGTAGCAATCTAGATCTACCTGTCTGTATCTATTAGATCTTCTTAAATGTATCATCATCCAAAACCCGCTTCTTCGTACATGATCAATCCTGACATAATAGACAGTTCATAGTTGTAATTGAATTTGACAACCTTTAAGGGCTCATTTGGTATAGTTTTTTATTCCCGAAAGTAAAGGAAATCATTTGTAGGGCTGTACATGGTTCTTGTTAGAGTATGGACCGGACCGCACCAGAACAAGCTGGGTAAGAGGACAGAACTAGCAGTCGCCTTTTCAGTTCTGGACTGGAACTGGTCCAAAATGGTTCCGGCTCCTCCAATCTAGGACTAGAACCAACCAATTCATGTTCTTTATATTTTGTTTTTCAAAGATGGTCTAAAAGACCAAAACCGACCTAGAACTAGTTTACATGGTTATGATCCAGTTTGCCTTTACCCAGAACTGGACGGTACAGAACCAGAATCGGCTTGGGTCCAACCCTAACTGTATGTGATGTTCGTTTTTTAACAAAAAATGTTAGCGATTTTGAAATATCAAAGTATCCCCAATTCATGAAATTGCAGAAAGAACAAGCCCTCCATATGCAATGAGTTTTGCGTCTTGTGATGACAACAATTTTGATAATGATGATTTAGTTTATTATTATCAAGTGTTAGTTTTGAACACTTTCTGGTTGATTGAAATCTTAAAAGTGGTCAAGAAATCAAGATTATCAAGCATGATGATGTCCTGTAGTTTGGTATACAACTAATGAGACTTTTGCATTCCATGCATGTGAGGTACTCATTTGGTTTGTTGCTGTAAAAGTGGTAGCATGCAAAGTTGTTGATGAAGTACAAGCGCAGCACCAAGGTTTCTTTAATGAGTGGGTAAAATTCAGTTGCATTCAATATCCATCTGATATTGAAGGGTGCACTTGACTGCCATGGTTTCATGAGTTTTAATTTCATTTTACATTGAAATGTGGTATGGTATGGTAACCACTAGTAGTGATTTATTGCACTCACTATATCACCAGAACTCTTTGCTTGATTTGTGTACATTCATCTATGACAGTCCACTTCTACCTTGATTTAAAATAAATGTTATAGTTTGATTTTCGCTGTCTTTAATGCCAATATTTGACCTTTGTTGTATATAATTATATATTTATACAAATTATAAAATGTACCCTTATAATATAAAATGTACGGAATATAATCTTTTAAAAAGTAGTTGATGAAAATTGATTGAAAACGTCGAAGTATAAGACTATTGCACAATTACACCTAGTGAAAAGCATCTTGGGCCAAATGCCAATATGCAATAATATACAACTAGATTAATATTTAAAAATCTAAAATTTCTTAATTGTATGTTTTGCACAACCATTTGATGAGTTTTTTTTTAAAATGTAAGATCTTTTTGAGAAGCTATAATGAGTAGGTTATAAGAGAAAATGTGACCCTTTTGACATTAATTAGTCTGAACAACTTGTTAAATCAAACTTAAATCCCAGAAACTTAACGGTTACTGATAACCCCCAAAAAATATATTTTCATTTAGTTGTATCAAACATATCCTTAAGATTAAAGAAAGTGAAAAGCCCAATTAGGTTCTATTTTTTTGGTTCCAAAATAAATTTTAATTTTTTATTTTTTATTGTTTCATGTAAACTCTTTTTTCTGTAGAGGCTAAATATTTCATGTTTTACGATATTTCTTTCTCCTTTGTATAATTTTTTGTCACATAATTTTAATTTTATAATTACCTAAAAATCTAAAATGTAGTATTACTACATTTGATGAGTCGGTAGACAACATTGTCCAAATTGATCACTATTCATGGTTTGTCCAAATTGACAAATGAATAATATACTAGCTTTAACAGTGAACTATAGAAGAAGTACGAGCGAGCTCTTCTTTAGTACTCCCTCCGTTCCAGAATTATCTTCATACTTTTCTTTTCGGTACGTCCCAAATTTATTTCCTTTTTCTCTTTTTGGTAAAGAATGTGTGATTCACAACCATTCTTACACATTTCTCTCTCCTCTGCATAACTTTCCACCACACAAATCTCACTATCTTAAAACTCGTGCCCGGTCAAAACCGGAGTTAAATATGGGATGGAGGGAGTACTTAGTACGGAATACTTTCTACAAGTAATATACTCCCTCCGTTCCTAAAAATTATTCTCGGTTTGACTTGGCACACTTATTAAGAAAGTGGAATAAAGTGAAAATGTATGGTTGTGGTTGTGTAAGAAAAAGGTAAAATGAAGTATTTTTCCCACATAAATTGTCCAAAATGAGAAAGTGAGAAGTATTTTTGGGAACAGCCAAAAAGGAAAGTGGAAAGTATTTTTAGGAACGGAGGGAGTAACAAGTTAACAAGTATATGAAGCTGTTTGATAAGAAATTTTCTGAATCGATTGATTCTGTTGCTGAAATTTACAAAATTCTGACTGAAGTGACTGGATTGGTTTATTCTGCTGATTTATGAAAAATTATATTTAAAATATTTTTTAGTAATAAAATAAAGAAAAACAATATCAAAAAGTAGTTAAAATGATCCTCTATGAAAACTTCAGTCAATGCAGTCATAAAAGTAACTTCAACCTTATTTTTTCTAGTTATTGGCGACATCATTGTTTTTTAGAAATCTTAACTTCCAATTTTATTCCAAATTGGAAACTTTGTCAGGAACTAATGATCATATTTCAGAATTATTCAGTTGTACACGAAATGTAAGCTTGAATCTTCATGTTTAAAACAAGAAGAGGTTGCCTTTAAGAAAACATCAAAGATTTATTGAACTATTTTTGAAGATCAACTCGCTTTCCTTAAAAAATTTAGTAGTTTGTGAAAGGTTAAAGAAAAAGAAAAGGAAAAGAAGGTGACCGAATGATTAGTGGCACAGAACTCAAGAGGACGCATAAAGCTGAAGGGGATAAAAAGTGGACGTTAATGGATATACATTGACACATTGCAGTACGCTTAGTTTTAATTTGATCAACTTTTTAGTTCTTTTAATACATTGACAACGCTCAGTTTTCATGAATATGAAATCAGAAAAGTAAAAATGATCGATGTTTGTGTAGAAGACAAAAATGAACAAAAAACAGAAATTGTTGCTTCAAAAGTAAAGTGACAAAGTTATGTGAATAAAAGAGGAAAGTTAGCGATTGCTACGTATTTTTTCTTTGTGTTCTACTTTATTTGATTCTCTATTTAATAAAATTTGTTTACTTCCAAAAAAAAGTTACAAATAACGTTCAATTTGACTTAAAGTCAAATGTTGTTACTGAGTAACTTTGAGTGAAATCATAGAGAAAATTATTATCTAAATAGGAGTAAAAAGATTTTAAAATTTCAAAATAATAAGACTCCAATATTTGTATTCTCTAAATATGAGTATTTCTATCAAGTTTGACGCTATCATGCTTTAAACATTGCAATTTCTGTCAAGTTTTTCTAAACTTGACAGAAGTTACTCCAATTTAGAGAATAAAAACATAAATATCCTATTTTGAAATTTCAAAACATTTTTATTCTATTAAAAATGAATTAAATTCTATAGTTATTACATGAAAGTACCTAGGAAGAATCCGTATAATTCCGTAATGTTAATGTATTATGAAGTCTTACAAGTATATGTTTAAATAAGTGGTCAAACATTAACTTTCAATGCCATAATAGTCAATATGTGAGTTTAATTTTAGTACAATGGTGTGTTTATAATTATGGAATTTAATATTTACATTAAATGTTTTTAAATTGCTTAGTTGGATCGTCATATATAATTAAATAGCAACAAAGACGATCGATTTCAAATTATGATCTGTTGAACTTTGCTTCCTAGAAAGAATTTAAAGTAGCAATAAAGATTCATGAAGGCGGCCACCTACTTCTTCAGAGCTTCATGATCATAATTCATGGACGGGAACAAAGCTTGACTATTGTATACAAATTTCAAACGTAAAACACTAACATTAAATATGGTACTCAATTTTAAACGAGGTTGTACTAAATGACGTTAATTTCACTAGATTTCATTAACAAAGGTGCACGACAGTGGGAAGAGTACATCCGGAGAGGAATGCCAAAAATAGCCCGTGGAAAAAAAATGAACAGACCAGTAAACGGCAATGGTTTACTGATCAAGAGCATTAGGGCCAGAACAGTAGTGTTTATAATGGTTCCAGAGCCACTGCACAAGGAACTTCCGCCGGATCCCGTTCATGTTATACGTCGCGCCATCTACGGCGTTCAGCATTTGACCCGTGTATGACCCACCGCCGCCGGTACCGTAGATGCCTTCACAAAGATCCGCAATTTCGACCGGGAATATCGGGTCCTGACCCGCATACCACGCATTGACCAACGGGTTCGTCGACAGCTCAGCGATCTCATGCCCGATCACGCTTATCATACCGTCAACTCCAGCGTCACCGTTCGGGGACTTAACTGCCTTCATGCCCGGGATGTAGTTGGGCACCGCAAATGGGTACGCGCACGTTCCCGGGCACAGCTTTGCAGAGTTACCCACCCATGCATACGGAAGAGTGTACCTATACAAATGTATAGTTAGTTGTGTGTATTTTATAACTATAAAAATCTTGTCTAGTCTGAACTGGTCTAATAATCTCTTTAAGTCTGGTCTTGGACTAAAAACAATCCAGGTAAAAATATCATTATATCTGATGAGAACAGAGTACTCTTAACTCTATATACATTAATTATAGCAATTTGGTAATTGAACAGAGCATCCCTTCCACAAAAAGTGACATCTTGAATTTCTTGGTGAATGGTAGTACTTATACGGAGTATATTTTTATGGAAATTATGTATTTTTTAATTTTATGAGTGAAATTACTTCTAACAAAACACACTTCTTTCTTATACTATAAATAATACTCCCCCATCCCGCTAATATTACCTCATAACAAATTTGATAAAGTTTGTGTGACTCTAAATTATTTTCCTTTATTCTTAGTTTATCAATTCAATATAGTATATGTGGAGTATGTATATAAATATAGTACGGAGTATTAGTCAAAGTTCAACATAAATAAACAAGAAAATCAAACACAGTGGTACAAAAATAGTGGTATGTCTTGTTCAATGTACTTCAATATGTCCTGTAAAGTTTTACACGCAGTAACATACTCCTGTTGTTTTTTCATGTACTACTGGAAATTTACACGCTTACTAAGAAGTAATAAGAGCTTAATTACAAAACTTTTAAAAGCATATCCTCCTTAAACAATATTAATATTTTTATAATTTTAGATTACATCATATATTCACTCTGTCTCCTGATGTTATTTTAACTGTATTCCATAACGTGAACACAAACTATTTCTGTAATTGATTTGAAAATCGGAAAGTGATACGGAGTGATAAATCAGATACAAAATGGCGACATCTACTATTAATTAATTAAACAAAAGTTAGGATTTGTGCACTAAACGTTAAATTCTGCGAATTTTGTTAATAAATATGTTTCAAATATTATAATGTCACTTTTTAAATAACACGCCAAAATACATTAATAAAAAAAATAAGACACCAAAATACTACTCCCTCCGTCCCATATTTAACTCCGGTTTTAAACGGGCACGGATTTTAAGATAGTGGGATTTGTGTGGTGGAGAGTTATGCAGAAGAGAGAGAAATGTGTAAGAATGGTTGTGAACCACATATTCTTTACCAAAAAGGGAAAAAGGAGATAATTGGGACGGACCGAAAAGGAAAGAATGAAGATAATTCCGGGACGGAAGGAGTTTCTTAGTTTTTTTACTACGGAGTAAAAAGTTTACCATGTTCCAAAAACATTTAAACGTTCTAAATTGACGCATACTTATTTAGTGTTATACTCCGTAATACTCCGTAACTCTTATCTAGCATAGAAGGAGATAAAGTACAACTTAATGTCATTTTAATCTTATTTGAATTTATCACGTTAGGTTATATTGAAAATGGGTCTCGATTATAATAAAACTTCTTTAATAAGTATTCAATATATATAAATTAAAATTATTACATAACTAAATTAAAACCATTATGAGAAAATCACATTTTTAGTCCATGAAATAGTCACCGTATTGAAATGTGAGACTCCTCAATTGTCTTCATTGTTGTAAATGTGATCCTTTTGAGGGGTGCAATAAACTCCTGGCCCACATCGTACGTTTTACCCCTCAAAGGATCACATTTACCGCAATTTAGATGATTACAAATTCGGGAACATTTACAAACTCAGAAATACGTGTTTGACATTTCAATATGATGACTATTTGAGGGATTGCAAGTGTGATTTTCCCGACCTTTGTCTAAAGACTTTGGATTTTCTAAAAGTGGTTTTAAAAAAGGTACTCCCTTCATTCCTATTATATCTTCCAATTTTCATTTTTCATCCGTTCCAAATAAACTTTCATTTTCCTTTTTTGGTAAAAAATTTGTGTTTCACAACATTTCTTACACATTTTTCTCTTTCCTCTGCACAATTCTCCACCACACAATTCTCACTTTTTTTAAATTGTGTACCAAAGTGAAATGGAAGATATAACAGGAACAAGCATACCAAAAATATACTACAACCCATTATTGTTGTTGTAAAATAAAAATTGACCAAATATATATTGTGTTAAATGGTACAGTGTACTTATAAAATATGGTGGGGGAGAGAGTATATTGGTATCGTACCCGACGATGGAGGGAAAGGTGAAGTAGTGGAACCCACAGACATTGTTGCAGAAATCCTGAACGTACACGTCATCGGATGTCAGCAACAAGTAGACCCCACTTTTCGGGTTAACCGGCAAGGGCCGGGTCGTCGCCGTCACGGCGGCCTTAATCACATTCTGAACGGTCAACCGGGTCAACGACTTCCCGAGCGAGTAAAACCGGTCGTTTTTCTCCGCCCCGATGTGCACATTCCGGGAAATGTTCGCGCCGGTCTGGTCGGTGTACAGCTGAACCGTCTTCCACCAGCCGGCGACGGACGGGTGTTTGGAATCAACGGCGGAGATCGAAGCGATGAACTCCCGGATAATCCGCTTTTGCCGGTTCGCCCACCGGCCGTACCAGATAGGGTAGACGGTGATGTTGGCTGTGAGGACGGGCCCCATATGGTACCTCAAGTGGATTAGATCCGACGACCCTTCGTACTTTTTGGACCCACCGAAGATGTAATCGGCGGCGGCGGTGCTGTGGTTCTGGTTGGGCCATGGGCGCCACCCGCTTACCGGCGCCGGGGTGCCGGCAAAATAGAATATTCCGATGAGGAGGAATAGAAGCGGTTCCGGGCGCATTTTAGTGGGATCAGGTACTTGGAATGTGCGTATCTATGACATATATAAGGAGAGGAAGAAAGAAAGGAGAAGATGGGCAAAGAGTAAATAGCTATTAGTACAAAATTTGAACAGGAGGATGGTTTGCCCTTTAAGGAGGGGTGGGTAATGGAAGACAGGTGGATGGAGAAGTGGGCCCACGGGGATGGTGATGGCGTCGTCGCCGTCTGATCATCAGTCTTTTGTATCTTGACTAGCGCGGTAAAACGGGAATGGGGTTGTACTCCCTCCATTCCTATTTTATTTTCCAAATAGGTTTGACACACGATTTAAGATAGTGGGTATTGTGTGGTGGAGAGTTGTGTAGAGGAAAGAGAAATGTGTAAGAAATGTTGTGAACCACAAATTCTTTACTAAAAAGGGAAAGTGGAAGTTTTAATTGGAACGGACGAAAAAGGAAAGTTGGAAGTTTTAATAGGAACGAAGGAAGTACTATGGACCAAAGTTTTGTTGGGGGAAAAGGGGCAAATAAGGACACGTACTAACCAAAAAGGTCAAATAAGGCCTTATTTATGAGCTCTGTCCGGCTTTCGCCATTTTGGGTGGTTCTCGGTGGAATTTTTTGATGGCGAAAGCCGGACAGAGTCTCATAAATAAGGCTTTATTTGACCTTTTTTATTAGTACGTGGCCTTATCTGCCCCTTTTCCCTTTTTTGTGAAAAAAAGTTGTGGGATGGAGGTAGTAAATACTCGCTCCGGTTCCTATTAAAGTTCTCACTTTCCTTTTTGTGATGTCTCTTATTTAAGTTCACACTTTCATTGTACGAAACCAAAAACAGTGCCAAACAGTATGCAAACAGTGTTAAACGGTGCACTCCACAATAAAGTCAAATTTATTTTTTTAATCTGTGTGAAGTCAAACTGGGAACTTTAATAGGGACTAGAGAAAGTAAATAACTTTGATGTGAAAAAAGAACATGTTAAATTTCACTCATAAATTCAAGTCAGGAGCAACTAATAGCATACAAACATAATTGTTGAAGTAATATATTATGAAGATTATGATCCCGTTTGGTAGCACAAAAATCGATTGTTTTGGCTGATTCTGTTGAAATTTATGAAGTTCTGGTTGAAGTGCTGCTTTGACTGTTTCTTCTGATTTAAGTAAAAATTATTTTTTAAATATATTTTATCAATAAAATAAAGAAAAAATTATATGGAAAAATAGCTAAAATGGTCATCTACAGTAACTTCAGCCAATACAGCTAGAAAAGTAACTCTAACCTTACTTTTTATGCTTATTATACAATTCAGCGCGCGAAAGTAAAAGTTACATGTTTGGTGAAAAAGTTGGCTGATAAGATTGATAAGCCGGAAAAAAATGTTACCAAACGGCCTCTATATGCTTTTAGAGCGGTGCTTGTTCTGATTAGATCATTTGTAGTCCTAGGGTATTAGGAGTTCAAAAGTATAACAATTGATAACAATAGTTATACTTCCTTTGTTCTTTTTTAATTCCAACTGTCTACTTTTCACGTTTGCCAACGTACAAGTTTGATCATTAATATCTTTCTTTCTTTATTTGTAATTTTTTTAAAAAAAATAGATTTTTAAAATATTAAAACAAGATAAATTTAACAATATTTTTTAAAATTTAATTTATACTCCCTCCGTCCTTTAAACTTTGTCATCTTTGCTCTTTGGGACGCCCCAAAAAAAACTTTGTCACTATCCTTTATAATCAGTTATTTTGTGATTCCTGTTATTTCTCTCTCCTCTGCACAAACATCAACAACACAGTTTTTATTTTATTATTCTCTGTGCCGATTAAAGTTCGCAAAGTTTAAAGGAACGGGGGTAGTAATACATTAATAAATAAAATAGAATCAAAGTAGAACGTGTGAATGGTGCAAAACGTCCGATGTTACCTTCAACAGAAAATGAAGTTACTATTATGTACATTCCGGCCAACAACCAACTTATTGGAACGATGGGATAGTAAAGAGCGGGAGGGGAGAGACTTTTTTTTGGAGGGTATGGCTAGACCCCTCCAAAAATTGACATAAATTAGGTTGCGCACCATATTTCCAAAGTTGAATAAGAATAGAAATAAAAAACTTGCAGTCATGGAGGCTCATCCTGAGTACTGGTTTAAGGACTTAATCACTAACGCTTGTACTAATCAAGATCACAATAGTTTTAATGTAAATGAAAATCGAAATACAAATAAAATGTTACCTAAACACCAATGATTGAAAGACGTGATCTTCCACTACTAAAAAATAGGGGTGTGCAAAATTACCGAACCGGCATGGTACCGAACTGGACCGGTATGGTACCGGACCGCAAAACGGGATTTCAAACGGTTCTCAAAAAAGTTGTCCCGAACCGGACCGTACCGGTTCCAAACCATGCCATGACCGGTTTTCATAAAATGAGAACCGGTACTGGACCGAACCGGACCAATTTATAATTTTATTAATTTATATAATTTTATAATTATGTATACATGTATACTGTTGGTCCGAAATAGGACGCTCGTAGGCTTTTAGGAAAGCTACGTACGACACTCAAGCAAGAATTAGGAAAGTACGAATATGGAAAGTTAGTCAGAAATAGCATCTCTGTATTTGAAATTCGAATTGCCTTTTATATGTGATTACAAATGGTAACTGCCGAACATAATAATGACTAAATTAATTACAACATTAATACGGAATTAAACACATAATTATGTCGTGCATTGATTGTTGGCAGTTACTCTTCCTGGCTGGCAGGTCAACCTGGCTGGCAGGCTGGACGCTTGAGCTCCCTCCTGCTGGACTGGACGGTGGGCTTCCCGCTAGGCTGGAGGAAGGCTTCTGACCCGGCTGGAGGCAGGCTCCCGGGTAGGCTGGAAGGCAGGCTCCCGGGTAGGCTGGACCGCAGGCTCCCAGTTGGGCTGGACCGCAGGCTCCCAGCTGGGCTGGTGGTCGGCAGGCTCCTGGCTAGACTGGAAGGCAGGCTCCTGGCTAGACTGGAAGGCAGGCTCCCCACTGGGCTGGAAGGCAGGCTCCCCACTGGACTGGAAGGCAGGCTCCCGGGTAGGCTGGACCGCAGGCTCCCAGTTGGGCTGGACCGCAGGCTCCCAGCTGGGCTGGTGGTCGGCAGGCTCCTGGCTAGGCTGGAAGGCAGGCTCCCCACTGGGCTGGAAGGCAGGCTCCCCACTGGGCTGGTCGACAGGCTCTCTTGGGCTTCCGCTCCTTGATTGCCCTGATTGGTTGGGCCGACTCGAGCTCTAGGTTGCTGGGCTTGGGCCCGCTGATCCAAGTTCGGGGCCTGGGCCGATTAGGCTCTGGGCCTGCTCCCATAACCCCATCACGAGTCCCCCACTCCCTTAGTCGAGTAGTAGACTCGGCTAAGAGGGAGTAGTTCAGGTCAGCTGCCCATTAAAAAATATTCACATATCAGAGAGCCATAATTGTGGATTCTGTCAATCCCACAATTGATGGAGATTTCCAAATTTCGAATAAGACACCCAACTTTAAATGGTCCCAAATTAATTCCCTTAGTGTTCCAGCATTCCAGCAGCAAGCTTTCTCCCAGACTTCAGGATCCAGGTCAGCTTCAAAAAATCCCTGAAATTCATTTTTATTACTTCATAAATTATTTTCGGACTTTATTTTATTTTTCCTTCCTTTTCTTTTCTTTCCTTTTCTTTTCTTTCCTTTCTTTTTTCTTTCCTTTCTTTTTTCTTTCCTTTCTTCTCTTTCCTCTCTCTCATGCGACCTGCGTCCGTCTCCCTCGCGTAGCCCCAGCGCCGCAGCTGACCGATTGCCTCCAAGGGCGGCCGCCGTCTGTGACCCGGCGGCTCCACAGGGCCGGTCCCTGCTGCGCCCAACGGTTGTTCCGCACCACCCGCCAGCAGCTGACTTCCCCCCTGCAGTTCGGCGAATCTGGCCGGTGCGTCTGGGCTCATATGTTCGGCTGGCGCAACTCACACAGGGGTCGGCGGCCACGCCCTGCTGGCCAGCGTCGCCTAGGAAACCGGTGGCCAGGTGGTCAGACGCCCCCCAGGCCAGATGGAGTTGACCCTCCTTCCGGTGTTCAGGTTGTCCGGTGAGCTGCCGCCGCGCGCTTCTGCTGTCAACTGTTGTCCCCGATATCCGGTGGCCATCCCGTGCTAATCTCTGGAATCCGGCGTTGATTCCCAGCCTGTGGGACACCCGGACTACAGTGCCGGAAGCCGGGTCTTTGAGGGAGTCAGAAGTGCAGCTCCTATGGCGGCAATGTAGCTTTTGGTTCGGGCTGATTAACCGTTATTCTTGCATGTCTTTCTCCAGGTCGGTGATAGCTATCTTTGTTGCGTCCACTTATGATCGTTGAGCGACAGGGGTAGGCGATGGCCTCCAGGCGGTGATGGCAGATTCCTGGCCAGCTAATCGCGGATGTTAATTCGAGGCCAGCTGTACTCCAGGTTCTGGGTGTTGCTTCCCGTCTGGCTGGATTGTTTTCAGAATTTGAGGACTCCGTAACTACCCTGGCTCCTAAGGAGTGATGTTCCTAGTGGCCAAGGTTCCGATGACGAGAGATCTCCACTGAATTCGGTGACCACCTACCGAGAGGCGAACAACCATGATGAAGACCGTGCCAAATTCAGATTCCAGCAGTATTCCTTGAGATTCCCAGCAACTCCCATGAACAATGTCCATCAACCTTGTAATTTACTTTATTTTTGAATAGTTTGATGTGTGGCAGATGTAACCTTTAATTCAACATTAAATCCTGAATCATACGTTTCTTTTTCTACCCTAGGCGACCAGGCGGCCGGGTGCCCCTCGGGTTGGATGGCATCGTCACCTCCCTGGAAGCAGGCGGCCGAGCGGCAAAGCGGCTGGGCGGCCAGGCGGCCAGGCGGCCAGGCGGCCAGATGGTCAGGCGGCAACGCGGCCAGGCGGCAAAGCGGCCGGGCAGCCAAGCAGTCAGACGTTCGGGCGGAAAATTGGCCAGGCGACCTGGCGGCCAGGCGGTCAGGCGACCAGGCTGAAGTCTCTTTTCCTTGGGGTTTCGCGTTGTCCGGCGGTCGCCCTGATGCTCTTCTTCCTCTGGGTGGCAGGGTTGTTGCCGCCAAAATTTGCTTGGCAGTGA